CGTCCGTGTCCGAGTCATCGTCGTCCTCGGGTACCTGGGGCTTGAGCAGCACAGGGCGACCCCGGCTGCGCGGCCGGCGCGAGGAGCACGTGAAGACGTCGGCAGCCATGAGGGGGGCGCGGCCGGGGGCATCCCCCGGGCCCCGAGCGACGCGGTAAATGAGGCTGAGGGGCGCCGGCCCGGGCCGCGCGCCGAGTGTCCGCTAGCGCCGCGGCGGGGGAGGGTCCAGCCTGAGGGCGCCGCGGCGCCAGCCCCAGAGTGACGTCACGGCGCGCCTCAGCCAATCGGCTGCCCGCGTCGGCCTCTTAAAGGCGCGGAAGCTCTTTTCCAGATCTAGGCGGACAAAAAAAAGGGACCCGAAGGCCACGACTCAGTATCTCGCTCCTTGCCACCCCGCTACTTGTCCGTGCTGACAGGGCGGCAGCAGGACGCGGTAACCAGGCCCTCACTCGCCTGGCTTGAGTGGCGTTGGCCGAGCAGGGCCTGCTGACCCCACCCGGGGCGAGCCTGCCCCGCGTCCCCCTTGGAATCGCCCTGAGGCCTCTCGCTGCCGCGGGGCTGGCGCTCCACGTGGTGGCTGGGGGTGGGGCTCCTCCCTCCTTCCAGGGAAGCTGTACCCTGCAGGGCCCGAACTTCTCTCATTTTTCCGAGCCCTCTGGCCGTTAACTCCATTTCGTTGGTGACAAGACAGAGTCACAGAATGCCAAAGGGATGTGTTCAACGCGAGAACAAGGACACTTCTCCCTGAGACCTCACATCCGCAGAGATGAAAACTGGCTCCACCAATTTAAAAGACAGCCCAGATTTCCAACCCAGCTGTCTGCCTCTAGGAGCTCTGCTGGCGCAGTGGTTAAAACGCTCGGCCGTAACCAAAAGTTCAGCGGTTCAAACCCACCAGCCGCTCCACGTGAGAAAGATGAGGCAGTCTGCTGAGACACTCTGCTTCCGTTATATTACAGCCTTGAAAACCCTATGGGGCAGTTCTGTGTCCTGTAGAGTCGCTATGGGTCAGAACCGACTCAATGGCAGTGGGTTTTCTTTGCCTCCAGCCTCCAGCTCCTTTACCTACGACTCAAAATATTGTTATGTTTATGAGCAAAATCTTCAGTTTAGCACGTGAAGCAACCCCTAAACAATTTCAAAAGGGAGATTTTCTCCACTGTCAAATGAGGAACAATGGCCCATGCCTCAGAGACTTGTGACCATTGAAGAGCAGTGGCTTAGCAATGTTCCCAGCACAGAGGAAGCACTTGGTAAATGGACAAGAGACTGACAGAACTGCCTTCAGCAAGTCGACCAGATCAATTGCTGGGTGCTACTGGGCCACACAGTGACCCCCTGTGAGAGTAGAACTGTCCCATAGGATCGTATTGCAATTTTCACAGGAGGTCTTCAGTGCTTCTCCCACAGAACCTCTAGGTGGGTTTGAACCACTAACCTTTTGGTTGGCAGCCTAGCACCTAACTGTCATGCCAACAGACCAGAGCGTAGAGATTTCCAAGGACTCATGGCAACCCCATGTGTGTCAGAGTAGAACTGTGGTGTGTAGGGTTGTCGATGGCTGATTTTTTTTTTGGGGGGGGGAGTGATCACCAGGCCTTCCAAGGAACCTCTGATAGACTTAAACTTCTAACCTTTCCATTAGAAGCCAAGCTTGTCCACTGAACTGCTTTAGGACCTACAGAAAGAGTGATTTCATATGGTTGACATTTATGGAAAGCTGTGCAACATTCAGGGGCTCAAAACTCAGCTTGGGGCAGGAGTAGGGGCACCAGGAGGGCTGGGGAGGCTGCTGGTCAAACAGTAGCCAGTGTAGTCCCAGCAGGTGGGAGTCCTCCACACGGCATTTGGGCGGTCGCGTCCAGATAGGAGTGGGGCCGAGTGCCAGCCCCACCCTCTTCCTGATAAGGGCCTCCGAAAGGGTAGTGTGGTATTACCCAATAGCAAGGTACGCAAGGGCTTCCTTGTGCTTACTTAGTAATCTGTAGTGAACAATTCCCCTTTTTTTCACCACATCAAAGATTCTACCTATGGTTGGCATCTGTCTCTCTCCCAACCACACAGCACCTTCCTATAGCCTCTTTTCAAATTCATATTCCTGACAGAGAAGTACCCAGCAACAAGGTAAGCACGGGCTTGCTTGTGCTTACTTCGTAATGTGTAGTTATCAAAGATGTGGTGGAACCCATGTGAGATTGTTCACTACCTATTGGTAAGTAAGCACAAGTTAGCCCGTGCTTACCTTGCTTACTGGGTAACCCACTCCTGAGAAGGGGAGGGCATGTGGAATGAGAGGGCCAAAGGGCTCTCACCAAAATGGATTCCTTCACCCTCTCCCAGATGTCAGCAGGGAGGGACGGGCCAGATGGGCTGGAAGCTTCCAGGTGTGAGACTTCCCCTTTGCTCAAACCACTTCTCTCAGCTCTGGTTGTGAATGTCTGAAGTTCCCCTTCTGGGTTGCCTTTCTTTATCTGAAGACTTTTCTCCTTGGTAAAACCTTAAGTACCCAGGCACATTTGACACAGCAATTCCATTTCTAGGACATGTACATGAGGATGATAATCATAGCATCGTTTATGATAAACTTATTGCTGTTGTTTGCTGCCACTGTGTCAACTCTGACTCATGTTGCTCCTGTGTGCAACAGACACAATGTTGTCTGGTCCACACCATCTTAACATATGTTGGAATGTTCAGCTCCATTGTGCCAGCTACTGTGTATTTTGAGTGACTGCCAACCTAGGGGGCTTATCTTCCAGCTCTATGTAGGACCATATTCTGGGTTTTCATTGGCTAGTATTTGGAAATAGTTTGCCAGGCCTTTCTTCCTGGTCTTAGTCTGGAAACTCCTCTGAACCCCGTCCACCACAGTGACCCTGCTGGTATTTGAAATACTAGTGGCATAGCTTCCAGGATCAGAGAGATGCACAAGCCACCACAGTATGATAAAGTGATGAAAGGGTGATGGATAAATCCATCAAATGTCCAACAAGAAAAGGGTCATCAAATATATTATTTAAAAAAGAAAAAGTCACTGCCATTGAGTTGATTCCGACTCATAGCCACCCCCACTGGGCTTCTGAAGCGGTGTATCATTACAGACTGCCCCATCTTCCTTCTGTGGAGTGGCTGGTGGGCTTGAACCACCAAACTTCTGGTTAGCAGTCAAATGCCTTAGGCACTATACCACCAGAGCTCAGCCCTGCTCTAAAGATTTCTTATAGAAAGATCAGCACAAGGCTGGTCCCTATGAGGCAGAGGTGAAAGATGTCCCAAATGTCCAACTTTTCCGAGCTGCTGCACCACTCCATTGTCTCTGACACCAACTCCTCCTCCTCCCCTCAGCACTCTCCTTCCCGTCTTAGGGGTCTGTATTTCGCTGTAATGTCTCACAGAAGCCACAAACTGCCAAGGAAATGGTTCACGTGGGGGTGGAGGCTGGCAAGTCCCTAATCCTTGGGTCAGGCGCCAGTCCGGAGGGTTCTCCTCACTCATGTGGTTGTAGGGGCCGAGGCACCCAAATCAGCAGGTGAGACTGGCTGCAAACTTGAGTCCCAAGAGCGAGGGATGAGATGATGACAAGCCAGATGTGGGGTCCAGAGCAAGAGAGCTTTCCCAGAACATTCACAATATGCCTTCAAGGAAAACTACGGGTGGTGCCTTGAGCCACACCTGATACCAAGGCGGGACTCAAGATATATCCCGCCCCAAACAGGCACACAAACCAAAACAAACCTACTGCCACCAAGTAGACTCACAGGCAACCCCCAATAGGTTTCCGAGGAGGTAAATCTTTACAGAAGTAGATGGCCCAGTCTTGCTTCCGTGGAGTGGCTGATGGGTTTGAGCCACCAACCTTCTGGTTAGCAGTCAGATGCCTTAGGCACTGTGCCACCAGAGCTCCTTTTAAACGAGCCTAGAAGCTAGGATTTACGTACGTCACAGAATGGTGAACTATGTCTAAACTCACTGCCATCAAGTAGTTTCTGACTCACAG